TCAGCAAGGACATGGAGGGGCTGGAGCAGGGGCAGAGAAGAGCAACGAGGCTGGGGAAGGGACTGGAGCACAACTGCCATGAGGAGAGGCTGAGGGAGCTGGGGGGGCTCAGCCTGGAGAGGAGGAGGCTCAGGGGACACCTCAGCACTCTCCAAAACCCCCTGACAGGAGGGGGGAGCTGAGGGGGGTCGGGCTCTGCTCCCAGGAACCAGCAGTAGGACAAGAGGGCTCGGTCTGGAGCTGTGCCAGGGGAGGTTTAGGTTGGATATCAGGAAGGAATTCTTTCCAGAGAGAGGGATCAGCCATTGGAATGGGCTGCCCAGAGAGGGGGTGGATTCTCCACCCCTGGAGGTGTTTAAGGACAGACTGGATGTGGCATCAGTGCCATGGGCTGGGAACCACGGCGAGGTTGGATCCAGGGTTGGACTGGATGATCTCAGAGGTCCTTTCCAACCCTGCTAATTCTGTAATTCTATGATTCTGTGCCCATCCCAACCCCAAACGCCCCTCCCCGGCCTGCAGACCCCGCTCAGCTCCTCCCTTACGTGGTCAATGGGGTCTTCGAGGTAGAGGATCCCGTTCTTGATGGAGTTGCTGATGTCGTTCTCCGAGTAGCTGGCGGTGGAGACCTCCTCGTACAGGTTCCCTTCGACCAGCTTCTTGTGCTGGGGGGTGGGACACGGTGTCCACGTCACACCGAGCTCCCAAACTTCCCACAGGTCCCTTCCCACCACCCCCCTATTCCCCCTGGAACGCTGGGGAGGTGTCTCACAGGGGGATAACCCTCTGGGATCCCAAAGATCTGGGAGAACCCCCAGCCCCTCCCCCAGCCCAGCGCCGCTCGCACCCCACCCATCAGGAGGGATTTTGGGGCGCGACCTTGATCAGGATCTTCTTCTTGAGCTGGGTGGGCGAGGGCAGCTCGTCGGCGTTGATGTCCACGGGCTTGGTGAGGAGCATGTCCCCGAAGACCTTCTTGAAGTGGGAGGCCATGTTCCTCTGCTGGACGATGCTGCAGTGGTCCTCGATGGACAGGATGATGGGGAACCTGGAGGACACCACGGGGC